AAAACATATCCTAATAATATATTGTTTTCCTGACAAGATATAGTTGTTAGTTTTATAAGTGATTATCTTATCTTTTTATACTTTATATAGTCAGAAGACATCCTTGAAGAAATGTCTAAAGAATCTATACAGTCAGAGATATCTCAGTTATCTGAAGCGAGTACAAATGCTACCAGCCTAGTATCAGTTGAAGCATTGTCATTCTCAGTTGAAAAGACAGAATTTGTCCCAGATGTTGAAATTAAGTCATCAGAGGAAACAGATAACGGAGAAAAGGGCTCTGGGACAATTTGTGGTATTTACAACTACAAAATTAAGATTTCTCCAGAAACTATGCATCATGGTGCAGTTGTTCTTAGCCAGCATATGTTACAAACTCAGTGTTATCCAGACACTGGGGACACTATTCATCAGGAAGGCACCTTAAGGAGAATGGCAGCATCATTAACAGAGTAAGTGACTTTAGGAGAACATAGATGAATCATCTGAAGTACCATGGTCAAGGCAAACCCTGTGTTTTTTTGAAGATAATTAGATTGTTAGAAGTTAATTTTGTAAGTAAGGTGTTTCTATAAATAAAGGTTGAGGGAGCTCTTATGATATGAAAATCATGCAATATATACTGTTATAAAAACTTGCTAGCAATACTGCAAAGCTTGTTGATCACTTGGTAATGGTATTATAATTCTCTCTTACTGCAAACTTTGAATATGGTGTGAAATATTGGACAGATTATGTTAATGGTTACAATTTAGTGTCAGTTTGTTTAGCCTTCTTCACTCACTTCAAAAACAGCTTTTTGTTTCCATAAAAATCACTTTATATTTTCTGTCTTTAAATCTTAACATTGCTTGCTCTCTTTCACTTTATTCTTTGCAATTACACATTAAGCAGTATATTTTTATTAGTTTTATCTTTTGCAGCAAACTTTCTTTTTTAAGCATTGTTCCACAGTTCATCCTTTTTCATATTTTCATAATTCTACACACCTCAGTGATACTGTGTAGTTAGTCCTTTTTGCTCTGTTCTAAGCCACTTCCACATCCTCTTTCCTTACAACTTTTCCCATTCAATTAGGAGTTGAGCTCCTTCTTTATGCAGTTTTTCTACTTTTGTTGTTTTTCATTCCTTCTGTGTCTATTTTTCCAAAGTTCCTCTCTTAACACTACTAGAAATATTCTACTTCAGCTCTTATTTCCTTCAGTTCTTTATAGGTTCATGTCCATTTTTTCCTAGTTTCCTCTTGATTCTACCAAAAAAATGTCTAGCTCGCATCCAGAACCTCTCATTATTCTTGTATATCTTCTATCATAAACAATCAAATGTTTAGATATCTTTGTTCCTTTGACATATTTACACATTAATAGAATAATACTTAATGAATAACGAAACAATGCATGAGAATGGTAATTGATATTTGTTAACAAAAAGGCATATTTGTTTGAAACACAATGCATTTGTGTCTCAAACAAATATGCTTTTTTATTAACAAATATCAATTACCATTCTCATTTATTCCTGGGGCTCCAAATGATACATTAACTTTTTATGTACTCTCTTTTCTTGCTTTCACCCATCCATTTAATATTCTTAAAGAATGGCTTCCCTCCTGGAACATACTCATTCAGAATATTGCCCATTCCCCCGCTTCAAAATTCATCCTGATTCTTTCATTTTCACCATTCAGTGTTACCTAGTATATAACTGTTATTATTAACCTATGCATTAATAATACAGCAGACCTTTTGGAGGGTCTGCTGTAAAGTCTAGCTGTTGCTGAGTTATTGGTTATAAGTTGAGGTCTTCCTGTATGGCTTTTGTCAGTTGAAGCTTTCACATAATATCTTTATCAGAAAAAATACCAACATTCCTTACTAATGATTAGGATACTATTCCAATTACGCGATTTTGACCAGTATGTCACAGTATGTACATACTGTATATGTACTTTAAATATGCTAATAATAATCTATGCAGACTGGGCTCTCTTATTTAGAGACAACCTTGTAAACTATCTTTTTGTTGCCTGCATCCCATCAATTAGAAGAGCCTGCAAAAGAAAAAGAAAATCTTTGTAGAGATGACTATCTGGTTATAGAACGTCCTATCTGCTTGTATAGCATTATGCATACAAATCTTTTCAGTTTTTAGGTATTGACATGGATCTTTTTTCTACTGGATTTTAGGCAAAAAAAGAGAATGTCTATAATTAAAGTGCTCCTAAGGAGAGGTGCTGATCCAAATATTTCCAACATCCCAATGCATGTACTGTTCTTTGCTGTTAAAGCCGCTGATGCAGAGGCTGTGCGTATACTTCTAGAAGCTGGAGCACGGACTGACATACGACTTCCAACCAGAGTAGGATGCTGTGTTTTTTATGGGATAGTTCTCAATTAAAAACTACAGTTTTAGCTTATGATAGGAAGTGAATGCTCTGATATAAATTTTAATACTTGCAGTGCGCATCACAAATGTAGCCCACACCCAAGAATTTGTTAACTTGCCAGATACTTATGAAATCTGTTTTTGTCCTTTGAACCAGGTAGCAAATAAAAAGGGTTATTTTAGTCCCAAGTGAGTAGTGACTGAGTTAGTGTATAATAAGTTTTTATTTTATTTATTTGTCAAATTTAGAGATTACCTATCTTGCTCTCAGAGCTAGTCTATTGTATGGACATTGCCTAGTGAGTGTTTTCTAATTCAAAATTGGGTATCAAAATGAGATATTGCAGTAAAGTTGCATTGGTCTATTAAAAGTGTTTTCCTATAAAAATAAGTTGTAAAAGTAAATTGTTGAAAGTGTATCTGTGTATCCTTCCAGTGTTATTGGAAGTTCATAATTGTTTTAAAAAAGTAGATAAATATTTGAAACCCACTTATTTCAATGATTTATACTTTAAGCATATACACTTAACTCTAGTTGCACATAAATTGTTTATGGTGCCTTGTATTAATTTAAAAAAAAAACATGTTCTCTGTTCCTGTTTCATTGCTACTGATTAATCATTTTAGTAGCTTGGTTCAGAAACACTTTTAGTGTATTAAGCTGGCATATAACAAAGGTTGATTATATTTGATGAAAATATTTAGTTTTTGATAATAATGACTTGGGCAATTATATTCCCTAAGGTTTCATTCTCTTTAGTTCTTAAAATTTAGCTAATATGCATCATTTGAAAGCTGGAATACCTTTTTGTCATAATGAGCATTTAATGGACTGAGTGCATGCAGTGGTGAAATGTTTTTGTGACTTGTGTTTTGCTTTGGGAATAAATGCAGCATTTGTTTTTCTAGCTTCGGGGTGTGGCTCCTCTTCATATTGCTGCTGCCCTTCCTTGTGCAGAAGGGATTGTAATCACAGAATTGCTACTTCATGCTGCTGCAGATCCTGATGTAAGGGCAGAAGATGAGAAAGATAAATTCCGGTTAGATAAGATTCCAACGAAGGTATTTATTTTTTTTATTAAATAAATCAGAACAAAGAGAAAAACACACACAAAACAACAATGAAATAAAGAATAATAGACAAAAACAATACAACAATGTGTATATACAAACACACAGACACAGAAACGCACACAGAAAAAGAGAGTGAAATAGAGAGGGGGAAGAGAGGCTTCTTATACCTATAAATTTGGCCTATTCAATTATCTTTCCAACTTGAAGTAGTATTCTTTTATCATGTTTGCTGTCCAAGTATCAGTTTCTATATAATAGGTTCCATGACAGTAGGCCTATACTATATTGTAATCCATGTAGAAGAGGTGAGAAAAAAAACCCAAAACAGCTTGTACATGACAAAGTGATATAAAATAAAATTCATAATGCAATTACTTTATGGTATGCTGTATGCTGAAATAGTGTTTTAACAAACAAATTCTAAGAAGTGAGTTTGCAATGATACATATTTAGGTAGAGTTGCCTTTTCAAATATATATTCTTATTTTATTTGTCAACTTGCATGGTACTTCGATTGCAAAGAAATTCTAGGCAGCTTACACAACAAGATGAAAGTATTAATAATAACTAAAAGTTTTGAAGGTAAAATAACAAAAATATAGATATAAATATAATTTTATAGCAAATTTCACTGACTACTTTCTGTGTTGCTTGGATCCTATAAAGCAACAATTAATAGAGCTGAACATCTATGATTAAGAGGATACCTGGGTAACATCTTAAACTGCTACTGTGGAAGACCACTACTAAGTAGTTGCTGTATTGAGATTAATTAGTAATATGATGTAGTATAAAGCAACTACATGGGGCATATGGAAACTGTAGTAAACACTTGCTTATTAAATCTTAAGAACAGTTAAATCACTGTATCTTAGGCCAGATGAGTGTGTATTTGGTCCATAGACTGAGATCATTTGTGAAAATAGGCTGAACATCAGGGAGAACAGGCTTAAGGGAAGAATGCCCTATTCCTTAGAAAATTCCGATCCCCAACCATCTATTTTTTCTTTGTAGGAAATGACAGGGAACAACAATTTATGGCTCTTCAACTGAGTTATCTAATTATCTTTTTTAGTTTGATATTGGTGAATCAGTATCTTTCATGAAAATGAATAATGAAACCGGACCACCCAAACTTTACTACAAAGAATGTACTATTGTCCCAGAGGAAGGTGGGAGGACACCTCTTCATATTGCCTGTGAGAGGGAAGACAATCTTATGGTAAGTGATAGTTATTGAGATTCTCTTTTACAAATTCTATTGTCCCTTCTCAGTTTTTGAATAGCACATTTTGTATTGGTAAGAGTTTTATTTTGTAAAAGGAAAAAGTCTATGGTCAACTAGCTCCAGCTTACCAATATGGACATTTAATATTTAAGCCTGAGCTCAAATTGAGGAATTTCAGTCATATGGAATAAATGGACATCCTGGACATATTAAATCTAATGCAGATCTCTGGTGTAATCATTTTAACTTACCATCTGTCTAAATCCTTTGCCCAAGTGTTAAATGTGTATAGAATATTAATACCAGAAAAATGGAATAGTAGCAAAAGAACAACCTGAATTTTTGGGCCATTGTCAGAAATAAAATCATTGGGCATCTTGTTCTGGAAAAACTTTTGAATGAATAGATGAGCGGCTTTGAGGTAGTAGGGAGGCCACATGAGAGCCTATCTCCAGAATGGCATCCAGACCATTCATTCATGACCAAGGAAATTGTATCCCAGGTATTGTATATAGAGAGAATGGATTGCAATAGTGTATATGGTATGCTGGTCAGATATTTGGCATGGCATCAAGGGTGATATGAAGAAACATAGGCCTTCACATCTATTCCAAGGCCATTGAAAGATTTGGAAAAGGAAATGGGTAAAGTACTTTAAAACGACCAATGGCTGGCTTTTATGGTAGAACTACAACATCATTTTTCTCTAAGGAAGGTGAGATGTATTACAGACCACAGTGCTGCATTATCTCCATTTCTACTATTCTTAGTAGTTCAGGTTTTTGATTTTTACTTCTGCAGTTGGATTACCTTCTGCCACTTCAATTTTTTTTCATTAATTCCATATTTGCCTCCCTATTCTCAATACGTAAGAGAGTTATAAATATAGGCTTGCTTCTTCACCATCTGTTATTTACTGACATAGATTCCTATGAGACACCTGAGAATTCCACATGTTATAATTAACCAGATACAAAACCATTCAGTTCATCTACTGATAATTTGCATAAAAATATTAAGTATTGGTTAAGACCCAGAGAGCTACATTAATTGTACCTTCTTTGATAGCCTATTACAGATGCTACTTTTAGGAAGACTCTGTTTTAAAAATAATGAACTGAGCCATGGAGAGCAAGTTTTCAGCCCTGTGTGTGGCCCAATATATTATCTTTATTTTCTTAACAAAGTTTCTCTGTCATTAATTAAACTAACTGATGCATTGAATATTTGTTTATTATGTTAATTAGATTATCGGCTACAAAATTTAGTTGGGAAAGATAAATATGCCAAAAGCTTTAGAAGTAGTCCTTGATTTATGACCACAGTTGAGACCAGAATTTCCATAGCTAAGTGATTTGCTCATTAAGTGAGTTGTATCTGATTTTACAACCTTTTTGCCACAGTTGTTAAACAAATCTGGCTTTCCCTTTGACCTTGTTTATTAGAAGCCCCCTGGAAAGGTCGCAGTGGTGATTTTGTAATCCCAGAATGCTGCAACCATAATAAATACATGCTGGTTGCCAGGCGCCCAAGTTTTGATCATGTGACTGCATGAATATAAGTGTGAGGATTGGTCACAAGGCAGTTTTTTCAATATCTTTATAACTTTGAATGGTTGTTAAACAAATGATTGTAAGTCAAGGAATACTTGTATTCCTTTTTGCCTTGATATCCGTACAGTCTCAACAACTAATAGGGTATATGTTGTAATTTTATTGAAATGAACTTTTCATAAAACAGAACATAAACTTTTTTTTTTATTTCTGAGCAAAATTATTCAATGTCCTTAAATATTTCAAAGTTTTATTATATGTTGAAATCAGCAAGAGCTGATTTTTCTGTCTTGGTTCTATTACCTTCAGTGTTTTCCCATTTTACTGGTGGTCATTGCTGTTTGTTGTTATTCATTATCTTGTTTAGTGATTTTTTTTCTATTGTTATTTATAGTGAATTATTCATTTGGTCAAACCTTTCTACTATTTGTTATTAATTCCTTTTTGTATTCTGCCCTTCTTGCTGACCACAGGGATAAGTGAAGATTAAGACATAATAAAGATACATACCACAGGGATTGGTAAAGTTATTGGGGAGATAATTATATGGCATGTTCTCTCTCTTCTGCTTATATCCTAATGCTTTGCAGTAGTTATCTTGATGAAAATTCTCTGTCCCAGATTGTTGAGTAGGATGGAGCAGCTATTTTCATTCCTGGAAATGGGAACTTCTTTCTCCAAGGGCTGAGCATTCCAGTTTATGAGCCTAGCTTTTTTCTGAAGAGAATACTGACTTTAAAAGATAACAAAAATACCTCTTCCTCATGCTTTAGGTGCAATTCTTGTAATAATTTGCATAACTTTTATTGAATTATTTAAAGGAAAGGAGTGTATAAACTAAAGAAAACCAAAGGCAGGGATGAGGAATTGTATAATTGTAGCAGGTTACAAATTTGGCTATAATAGGTGAATGGATAAAATTAGGAGATTATACAGGTATGCACACACATAAGGGTAAAAGGTGAAACTAAAAGTTTTGTAGTTTGTTCAAAATATCAGCAAAATAAGTCCTCTCTGTTCAAAAGTATTGGATTGCAACCTATTGCTCTCACATGTAAAAGTAAGCCAACTCTGTATTTAAAACAACCTCTCTGTTCAAAAAAAAAAGAAAAGGTGATAGCTATATTGTGAGGAAAGATACAATAAACCTCTCATTTTAAAGGTGAACGATTTTGGAGGAAAACCTCTACTGTTTCTTTCAGGTAGCATATTCTGTGTCAATCTGATTTTGATACATAAGTGTTCTTGGAATGACCTGCTCACTATAATAGGGAGAGAAAATCTGTGCATGCAATGAGAACAGGTTGTTTCTTCTATTGAAGTGCATGAACCATAGCAGGATAAGTTCTACATTGGAAGGCCAACAGAAGATAAGGTGATTTGAAACCGCTGATGACACAAGCATGAGCTTATAAGAACTCTGACATGATGAGGTCCATCAGGGCACAAAGAATTGGAGGTGACTGGATGACCAAATAACGACAGCATTCATAAATTCCCATATCTGCCAATCAGTCTAAGAATATATTATTTACTGTTGTGACTTTGTATTCTTTGCACCAGATCCTTAATTTGTGATATGCTGTTCTGGTCTGAATATGTTTAGATGCATGGACATAAATAAATGTCCAATTTGCAACCAGCTTCGGCTTTTTTCCCCCAAGATAAAATAGGTATAATATTTTTGCTTTAAATTAAAAAATGTGGCTTAACTTAAATGTCTTATTTAAATGTGTCCTTATTATTTATTTTAATTTAAAAAACAGTATCTGTAGTGATCTCTTTTTGTTTTATTCTCCCCATCAGAATGCTGGCAAAGTTATTCATCATCTGTTAAATCACAATGCAAATCCAAATGTCCTGTGGAGTGGCCATTCCCCTCTTTCACTAGCAGTTGCCAGTGGAAATCAACAGGTTTGCAATATTCTGTCTTTCCAAGCATTTTTAACAACAATCGTAAACATTATTTCAAAATCATTCTAATTGTGGCAAACTCAGAGCAGTGATTCCAATCCTTATGTCAGCATTTGTAGGTAATATATACAATGATGCTAGAGCATAAAATAGACAATAAAGATTCCTTGAAGCTTACAGAAAGTTAAAATATATACATATATTTTGAGACATGTTGATACTGATTCAGTAATCAGCTATATGGTTCAAATAATTTATTTATAGTCAATCCTATTAGTAAGAGCTACAAATCTATTGATTTGGATTTTTAAAATTATTATTAAAATTCCATTAAGAGTTGGAGAGATCAACAGAAAATGACAACAATTTACAATCATGCTATCTATATATGTTAATGTTCACATGGTTAGGATTTTTGTTTGTTAGTTTGCTTGTTTTTGTCTTTAGGAAATTGGTGATATTAGAGGATCCATTTTCAATCAGGTGTCTCCATGGGCAGGAGGAAGTTGAGTTCTTGTTCCTGCAGTCCTCATTTGACAATGGACAGTGCCACACAAATGTCAAATTATTTTTAACTGTTTTTTTGTATTTTAATTGTGAATTGGATTATGGATTTATTAATTTCAAAATACATGTTTTGTGTTCTGTGTTATATTCAGTAACAATACAAACCTTTACCATGGCCTTTAAGTCAGAAAAAAAACTGCCTAAAATACATACACCTAAAATTATTGAAAATATTAAAAAGTAAGCATAAATACAATAAAATTACATACAAATAAAATTAACATCACAGCATTTTGCTGAAATATGGAAAGCTTGCCTATCTTCTGAAAGTGTCTAAAGACCTGACTTTTCTCTCAGGCATTGGATGATGCTACCATGAATCATAGGTCAGGTAGACAACAGTATTAATTGAATGGATAAGATGAATGAATAAATAACATTTATTTGATATTCCTTAACAAATAGATGATGCAAAGGAATGATTCAGATCAGAAATAGCTTTTTCTCATGCCATGACACAATACCCTTGTGTTAATGTGTATTTATTTTCTGATGCAGCCCATGGAAGCTGATAAGAGTAATAGTCAAAAAGTGTACCCCATGGCCAAAGACATGTACTTGCTCCTAACATGGACTGTGTAAGGCTTGGTAGTGCCATCCTTTCCTCAACCAGTTCTAACCCACTTTTGCTATTTTTATAAAAATACGGTATATACAAAAAATCAGGTTTACAAAACAGTTTCAGTGCAAAGCAGTTTCTTTTTTTGGCCTTTGGCTGCAAACAAGGGAGATTAGATATTTCTCACCATATTCTTGCTATAATTCACCATACATTACGAACCCTTCTGCTACACCAGAGTAGGACATTACTGCTGGACGACCGGTCCTGTCTAATTATTCCCTTAGTGTGGTATGAGCCTCATATTTAGCTGCTAAGGACAAGAACAAGAGGAGAAGCAGGGAAAATAGTTTTGTGTCTTTATCTGAAACCATACAGAACTTCCCTATTTTGGTCATCTTTAATGGATGAAATCATTGCTTTAAGAATGTGGAAGCCAATTCGTGGACACCAATTTCCTTCTTTAAATCCCTAACAAAAATATTATGTTGGCAATTTTTAGCCCTGCCCAAAATTTGCTTAGGCAAGGCATTATATACATATCTGAATCAATAATATTAATGTTAAAAGAGAGTTCCTTGTCTTTCTCCTACCTTTAGGCAGTTGCTGAACTTCTGGCTGGTGGAGCTGATCCAAATCTACCTTTAAGCCAAAGTCTTGCAAGTGCCCTGTGTGCTGTTATTAATCCTGCATATGAGCAGAATGGGACATTAGCAACTAAGATAGCACTGGTAAGAAAAGTCTTGCATGTTTGGTTACTTTTCCAAATAAAAATGGTAAACTATTCTAACCCCCTGCCAGAATAAAAGTAAAATAAAATAAAAGGCATTATAATGGTGAAGCAGGATGAAAATGCCATGAATAGAGGAAAAAGATGAAAAAAGAGGCTGTAAAAGGCCCAAGGATCAAAGAATCAGAAATAGAGCTGATACAGATTTTTAGTGTTACAGGGATAGGTCAGCATATTGGATGGCTGAGAGAGCAGGAGGTTGAGTGAACAATAGATAGCATTGCAAACTGATGGCTCTAATTTGTCTATATGTCTTTCCAGTCTAGTTACATAAATAATTATTTATATATATAAAATCTTATTCTCTATCTATACCTCACAAAATGAAAAATGCTATAGCCCCATATTAATTTTGGTTGTGGTTCAGTTTTAACACAAATTAAATTGTACATCTGATTATCCAGATCTTCATTTTCCCGTCGTAACATAATGGCTTAAGAAGAAGATACTGAAACATTAATAAATTTGCTTTTATATCATTAATGTAATTAAGTAACATTATTAGGTTTATATGCATGTGTGTGGACACTTGTAAGCATTAACTGAATTGTACGCTTCTTCCTAAAGAAAAGTTGGTCATGTAGTATAGTTATGCCTTATTTCTATATAAATGCTAGCAATAAATCAATGGCCTTCAGGTTGGATTATATTGATTTGCCTATGTGCAACATTGGTGGAAATGGCTGCATATGACTCTAAATGTTCTACATTTATTTTCTTCTCTACTTAGATTGATTCTCTCATAGCAGCAGGTGCAGAGATGTTGATGCCAATTACTCTTATTGATGAGTGTAGAACTGCAGTGGGGACAGTTGTGGACTATGCATATTTCAAATATTATCAGGTATCTTTTTCCGTGTTTGAAAATTCAAAATATGATGTATGTACAGTCCTGTGTTTTGAGGATTGTAAATTCTTGCTACTGTTCAATGAGAATCATGTATGCCAGAAAAACCTAAAGGTAACTTGAATAAGGTATTTAAATGTTATGGTAAGATGAGAGTGAAGAACGAATGGGTGCTGAATTAATGGATCAAATACAAAAAACTACTAAGAAGAACTATGTTCAGGTGATTTAATCATATGAAGAAAATGAATGAAGATTCAATACCTGAAGAAGGTATGGTTGAGAAGAAGAGACCGATTGAGAAAGTCACGGTTAGATGGAACTGATCCTTGACAAGATAAGGAGAGCACAGAAAAGTAATGTGGCAATAGATATGTAAATTTGATGGAAACAAGGTTGATATGTAAATGGAAAGGTATAATGAATGGTGTTGATGTACTATAAATGAAATTTATTTAGATTTCCTTTCCCTTTCCCTTTTTCTTGAATGTCATTTATCTTAACTTCTTATTCTTTTTTGAATTTTACACATTGCTTATTTTGAAGTGTATTATATATACACTTCCACAAATTTGAAAACTTTTCTCATTTTCTTTGATCAATGTACTTTGATCAACATTTGGTGTTACTGTCTTGAATTAAGTAAACTTGCTGTATTTCACAAGCATACAGATGACCTAGGATGTAGTTGAGATGCTTCAGTAACTATCAGTGCTTCTGCCCAGAGATCTACATGTGTCAAAACATCTGTGCTACATTATCATGGGTGGATAATGGATAGAATGGATAGAAAGGTGGGGTTTCAGGGAATAGCTCTTGGGGCTTGACAGATAGTTATTTGTAGTTGTTTTCATCAAATACACTGGATGTTGACTTTATTTATGTTTTACACTTCTATTTATAAATTACTTGCAAATAATATATTGTTACATTATAGGAAACAATATTATCATTGTCTGTTAAAGGCATATTTTTATTTATGCCAGCATGGATTAGAATCATTGATAAATTTATTTCCCTTGCATATAGGAAGATGCACAAAGGGATGTTTTGGAGACTGATTTTCTAAGTATCTGCTAGGAAAACTAGAAATTAAGTAAAAAAAACATAGGTGGCATTGTTCTTAACAGAAATAGATTATAAATTCTTCTTGTGGGAAACTGGCAGGGGACATCAGAAATCACAATCACATGACTGCAACTTGCTGCAATGTCATAATCACATCTGGATGCCTAGTGCCCAGACCACAATTATGTGACTGTAAGGATACTGCAATGATTGGATTTATAAGGACCAATTATTACTACCATTTGCTCAGCTTCATCTTAACTTTGAAAATTGCTGAATGAATGGTCATAATTCAAGGACTACCTGACTATCTGACCACATGAATTGTGGTGGCACAGTGATTAGAATGTAGCATTGCAGGCTAATTCTGCTGACTGGCAGCAGTTCGATTCTCACCGGGTCAAGGTTGACTCAACCTTCCATCCTTCGGTAAAAATGAGGACCCAGATTGTTGGGGGAAATATGCTGACTTTGTAAACCACTTACAGAGGGCGATAAAGCACTATGAAGTGGTATATAAGTCTAAGTGCTATTGCTATTGCTATCTATAATTTTTATGCACATTTCCTAGTTACATACTAAAAACAATTCTTATGTATTGTAGGATAAAAGACTGTTGCATACTCCCCTCCATTCTCTGTCACCAGTAGAGAGGGATACTTATGCATTTCGACGAAAGATGCTGGATTTTCTCAGTGAACGGCTTCGTGGGTGTGTCATTGAAAAGGAAAAACAGTGGGATGAAGAAGAACTTAGGAAAATCAAAATTGGTGAGTCCAAATTAGATTTTAAAATAAAAAAACCAATATGAAATAGTTCTAGACTGGGATTAGAATACTTAGGGCAGAGGTATTTTCTTGCAGCTGCAGATTATTTAAAATATGGACCTAAAATGTTAAACTTGGGATTCATTGTCAAATTTCCTCCTAACATCTGGGGAACATGGTAATATGTTATCTTTTTGTATTCACAAGATATACTGTGTTGAGACAAAGAGATGAGGCTAAGGATGTTGATACTTATCATGAAATCCTTCTAATGTTTAATTTCAGTTTCAGACATTGACATTCAATTTTTTAAATAAAAAAATTGGCTAATACTGCTAACAATTCTGAAAAAATGATTGACTCTGGCGTTTAGAAAAGCAACAACAGCTCTCATGAGATCAGTTTTAATAATAGGTGGATGAAAATACCAAATCCAGTATAAACCCTCTCGTTGACTGTGCAGCTAACTATAATAGGGGAAAAATAGTGAAAACTGAACAACTCAAGATACCCTATGAAATAACATTAATGAGACTGGGTGAAGATGATCACTACAAATACCGGGGCATACTTCAAGCTGACAACATCAAGCACCCTATAATCAAGAAGGAGGTTAGAAATGAATACAATATGAGAGTAATGAAGATCTTAAAGTTCAAACTCAATGTCAGGGTCCCCTCAGAGGCTGGTTCGGAGGAGGAGGAAGAGTTGGAGCTGGGACCATCTGACAGGGAAGGCATGCAAGGGTCTGAGGACGATGCTGTCCCGGGCCCCTCAGGCATTGGAGGATGTGGTCGACCAAATGGAGAGCTGCCTGCCTGCACAGACCCGGGAGGATTGGCTGCTGACTGGCAGTGGTGCCGTTAGGCAGCCAATCTCCTCTGATGAGGTACAGCTGCCTATTCCACTTGATCCAAAGGCAAGGAGAGTGGAGCATAGGCAAGCTCAGAGAAGGCTGCAAGGCTACGTGGGATGAGGTCACCTCGCCCTTCCTCACAAGGAATACCTGGAGGGAGGTAACTTAAGGAGAAGCCGTGGGGAGTTAGTTTTTGCCAGGAGCAATTGTTTACTTTGGCTTACACTCCCTTCTTGTGCCTGTTGCTGTTTGCCTTGCCTCGCTTGGAAAATTGCTCTTCGCATTTTGTTTTGGACCTCATCCTTCTCCTGTGGCCTATGTTTGGCCTTTGCTTCACTGAGGCTTTGGAACTTCTTTTCTGGGACCTGTTTCAACTGCCCTTGTCTTGTGCCTGGACCCTGCCTGGTGGATTGGACTTGAAACACTGGACCTTGCCCTGTGAGCGTGTTCCTACTCTGTGGGCTTTCTTTGTACTATAGGAGCTGTTGTTTGGGGGAATGAGGGTGGATGGCTTCAGTGTAGCATCAAGGTGGAGCTTTACTGGTTGTTGGAGGGCCATTGGCTGGAACACTGGTTAAGAGAAATAAAGAACTCTTTAGAGGCCTGCCTTGTCTTGACCATCTGGGTCATAACACTCAATTGAGGAAGTATCAAGACAATTAACACCTGGATAATTCCAGTCATTAGATGTACAGCTTGAATAGTGGACTGGAATCAAGCATAACTAAAAGCCCTGAATAGAAAGAACAGAAAAATAATGACAATGAGTTATGCCCTTTATACACACAGCAATGTTGATAGATTGTTCTTACCAAGGAAATAGGTGAATATGGAATATTGCAAGCACACCAGACAGTTGAAGAAGAAAAAAGGGCATTGGAAGAATATCTGAAGGAGAGTGAAGATGATATACTAAAGCTAGCATACTCAGTAATGTAGGCTTACTGAGTTGTGGAGAGACAAACTGGCCTTCAAGAAAGACCAAATGAAGAATAGGAAAGAGACATGGCAAGGCAAAATTTTGCAAAGCCAGTACACTTCAAAAAAGAGCAGGAAAAATAAATAACAACAAGACCTGGCTATGGCTATGAGCAGAAAAGTTTAAGAAAGACAGAGGGGCTAATACCGGCTGCACAAGACCAAGCCTTAAGAACAAATACATCCAAAGCCAGAATTGGAGAAGACATCAACAGACAGCAAAAGCCGCCTCTGCAAAGAAGCTGAAGAAACATTGGACCCTTAGTTAACTGCTGCACAAAGATTGCAAAGACTGACTATAAATAATGGCATGACAAAGTAGCAACAATGGTGTGCTGGAATATTTGCAAGAAATACCATTTGCCTGCAGGGAAAAACTGATGGGACCATAAAGTAGTGAAAGTAATAGAAAATGAAGAAGTAATGTGTTTTGGGAATTTAGCATTCAAACAGACAAGCATCTGCCATATAACGCCCCAGACTTAACAATTGTCTATAAGAAGGACAAAAAAGTCTGGACAGCGGACGTGGCAGTACCTGGAGATAGCAGAAGAGAAGAGAAAGAACTGGAGAAGATCACAAACACAATGATCTGCAAATAGAAATAGAATGATTGTGGCAAAAGAAAGAAAAGATAATACCAATAGTTATAGGTGCCTTGGGTGCAATCTCAAAACTTCTGGAACATCATTTGAACACCATCAGCATTGATAAAATCACCATCAGTCAATTGCAAAAGGAATTATTTGGAACAGCTTACATCCTGCAATAATATGTTTAACACCATCAAACAATAACATGTACCCAACCCAAGTCTTGGGATGGATTCGAAAAGTGGATAAAAATGGCAAATACAAAGATCTGGCTCACTATACAATGAACCATAATGCCTTTAACACCATCATACAAGACCATCTGCCTCTCCTAAGTCCTTTGAAAGGACTTGATGGGTGGATAAAAATGGCAAATCCAATCTAAATAAGTGACTCTGTGACAAACCAATATTATTAATAATAATATTTGCATTTCAGCTTCTGCAGGCATAAGAAAGAAATCTATGGGTAGCACTTTAGGACAGTCACCAGAAACAGATTCATCAAAGTAAGTCCTATGAATCAAAATATAATTTGTTTGTTGTAATTATAGTCACATCTATCTCTGTGGTAGATGGTTTTAGTATTGTTGTCATCACTAATGGATGTTTATTTTGCTGCAAAACTCAAAATGATGTTCTCTTTAAGCCAATTGGTCTACATATAGTTTCTAAAACAGATGTCCTAAATCCAAATATGAGACCCTTTTTAATTTTAAATTTAGTATCGATAATATTGTTGCTGTGTGTTGTCTATATATAGTATATGTGTATGTATATGTGCGTATATATATGTATGTATGTATGTATGTATGTATGTATGTATGTATGTAGGTCTTTGGTTATTCGGGTTTTCTCCTGCGTAAAATTGGAAGTGTCTTGGCGACGTTTTGACGAAGTCCCATTCGTCATCTTCAGGCTGGTGTTTTCGGCTTCGTGCTTCTAGGAGCAATGTGTGATCGCAGCTGTTTCTTCCTTTTAACTGCCAGTGGGGTATGAACTGATTGGTTAGGGGCTTGGCTGTGCTCTGATTAGATGGGGGGTTGGCTGTGCTGTGATTGGCTGGAGGTGTGTTCTGTTTGGATGGGAGCTTTGTAGTGCTTGGAGCCAAACAACAGCAACGCAGTTCTCCATCTCAAATCCCCCGGCAACTCAGACTAATCCGAGCACTACAAAGCTCCCACCCAAACAGAACACACCCCCATCCAATCAGAGCACAACCAACCCCCCATCCAATCAGAGCATAGCCAAGCCCCTAACCAATCAGAACACAGCTCCACCCAACCAGAATACAGCCAAGTTCCCACCCAATCAGTTCATACCCCCATTGGCAGTTAAAAGGAAGAAACAGCTGCGATCACACATTGCTCCTAGAAGCACGAAGCCGAAAACACCAGCCTGAAGATGACGAATGGGACTTCGTCGAAACGTTGCCAAGACACTTCCAATTTTACGCGGGAGAAAACCCGAATAACCAAAGACCTACATATATGTGTGTGTGTGTTTGTGTGTGTGTGTGTTTGTGTGTGTGTGTGTGTGTGTATACCCACACATGCATGATATATATACATTGGAGATAAAATGCATAAGTGGTTTATTGTGCATTCCTCTTACTGAATCTCTTTAAACTTAAATTTAAAATTCAGTGTTCAGCTTTCTTATGAGTGTGATGTAAAAATGATTAGCTGAAAAAATATTAAGAAAATAAGCACCAGTAAAAATTGCTTATTGACTGTATATTGACAAACCCATAGAACTTTAATTTGGGGGAGCTTAATTTTGGGGCACTTAATTAGAAGATTAAGGGGCGGCAAGGGTATATGAGAAGAAATTATTAAAATAACTTTAGAATGACAGTATAAAGAAACAAGTGTTGAAGATCAAAACTCTATGTACAGAATCATATACAGGATCATATGTATTCCAACTTTTTAATATTTGAGCAAATTTCTTTGTCATGCGTGTGTTCCAAAAAGTGTATATGTTATGTCCGTAATCTTTCTTGTAACCACATTTTTTTAACAGATTGCTCTTCTTTAAATACTGCTACCAGTGTGGGCGATCTGTTGGTGTGACCCTTACACCTTGTCCACATTGTTTTGAGATCTTCACTTGCAGCAAGTCCTGCAAAGTCAAGGCTTGGAATGACCGGCATAAGCGAGAGTGTTTACAAACAGGTAGGTGGGGATGATGGCATGCAGAACAAAGTGGGACTGAGATAGAATTCAAAAATGTTGCAATTAATTTATTCTAGAAAGAAACAAAGTGTCCTTAAAAAGGTAAGTAATCTTGTTTTATTTAATTTAATTAGTATCTGTAAACGTCAACAGTTACTTATCCTTATGAAAACTCATCTTTATGAAAGCTACTCAGCTAAACCAAACTTAAATTGAAACAGTAACTTGAACAATACATATATAAAATCTGCAGTAAAATTTATTTACTTACTTAATTTAAAACATTTATACAGCCACCTATCTTAAACCAGACTTTGAGCAGCTCACAACCCCAAAATAAAGCAAAATATATCAATAGTGAAAGAAAAGCATTAAAACAAAAAAAAAGACCTGGCACTACAGCTAAACTTTTCCATGCAGTTCTTAACAAGTTTATCCCATGCCAATTTGAACCTCATTTCAGCACTAGGGGAAACCACCAGGTCTTAAGTGCTTTTTGAAATATCAAAAGGGTAAGGGCCTGCTGGACCTTTGGAGGAAGGGCGTTCCATAGGACAGGAGAAGACACATTTCCTAGGCCCCGTAAGATGGCAGCACTTAAGGGAAGGGATCAAGAGTGTACCTATCATATCTAATATGTGGGGAAGACAGGTGTCCTGAGGGAGAGATGGTCCTGCAAATTACCTGGTCCTGTGCCATATAGGCTTAAAGGTAATAACTACTATTGGGAATTGGCACCTGAAGGAAACGAGCCAGTGCAACTTGCGCAACCGAGATATAACATGGATGAATCTACAGTAGATGCGCCCAACACTGCACAGGCCACTGTATTCTGGAGCAATGTGATGCCCTTTGATTTATTCCATCACTGACTACTATAGTGCCATTGTTCTTCCTATAATATTCTATTTCAGGTCTGAGTGCATAGTTTGCTGAATTGAAGTTTGTTTCATGTTCCATCTTATTTGCAGTATAGAAGATTTCTTTTAAAAATGAGACTATAGCTAGTTAAAGTTTGGAAACCTTTATTCTTCCCTCGGCTTCATTTCAGATGGATAACTGTACTTAATAGGAAGATGGTAACCTAGGCAGAATTTGGAAGGAGTTAGATTATGTAAGACAAATGGATAATAATTTCACAGTGCATATCACTTGAACCTAATTCCTTTCCTGCACATTATATGTATTTTTAGGAACTTGTTGCCCCAATCTTCTTTTCTGTGCTTATTTCACCTAACTTTTGTGGGCTAACATTCAGTGTCATTTGGATTTCAGTTAGCATACACAGATCTCCTTTTTACCCTCTTTTTGTTTTAGAAATTCAGATGTGTATACCAGCAGCACTCACCAAAGTGTAGCTTTTTAAGCTATGGGTGGTCCATTTTATTGCACTACTGGGAAACATCTGCAGAATTACATACTATATTAAAAATAATAATTATATTACTTAGATCTAATTCAGACATTAAAGTTCCCACATGAGTGCTATTATAGGGAAGATATGAACAATCCTGAAGTAGTGGTTTGAGATGCTGACATAAATGTCTCTATATCACATTCATTCTTCTTAAGTAGCACTTGGGACTGCTATTCTACTTCATTGATAATTCTCATTCCCAGATAATTTCTTTATAAATATTATGTTTTGATAGTATTAACAAACATTTAATACTGATCTAATTCACTGTGCATCATATGTACATGTTTAAATTTCCTGAGATTATTTATCTTACATCTTATATTGTATAACGTAAGTTAATTTTTTAATCTGTTTATATTAAGTACTGATTTAAATCTGTTTCAGTTTTTGGCAATCAGCTAACTTTTGTAGTGTCAAAAAAACTCCTTACATTGAACACAAGGACACTACTACTTATAATGTGAAGCAAATTATTTAAAAAATATTTGATGTGGTTACTTTAATTGGACTGAATATGTTTTATCTCATGTTTAGAACAAGGTAGAGAGAATAAGAAAAATAATTTGCGAACTGTTACTTTCCTGACCACTTTAATGTACAAACATATAAGATCAAAGTTGCAGGAAAAACTGAACTCTTGAACTATAAAGCAGGATTCATTGAACACCTGGATTTGAAAGATGGCAAATGATTGTTAGGAGAATGATTTTAAAAGGCAAGAGAAGTCTTCATTCAAATGAAGAAACAACGAGAGAGACATGTAAGAAGAATCTTATTAATATATGGACTGTGTGTAAGCTCAGTGCCAAGTACCAAAGTGCCAAGTCTGTACATGAATATATATTTTTTATTTTGACAATCGTGTGTTTTCTTGAAGGGGTTTCTAGATTAAAATTTAGAATTTGATCTCGAAACCTACAGTACTTTGTGTATTTCTCAAAATGATATGGGTTAAGAAAGATTTTTTAAAAAAGATTCCATGAAGAATATGGCATCAAAATCTCATTTGGATGGAGAAATTAAAGCAAAGCATCTTCCAAACTTCCAGAAACTGAAATAAGGAAATTTCATGTCTGCTTATAAAAAGGATATTGGAAAGCAAAGGATTAGTTCCACAGTGATCAATCAGGTATGACTGGGAAGCGCTTGAGCAGGACATGAATATAATACTGTAGTCTTCCTCCCAAGTTTTTCACCCTCTGGATTTCATCTTCTTCATACCGTGAAAGAGGAATAAAGCCAGCAAAAAATGCGTAGCCCCTTTCTGGAGCCAACCAAATTACTAGCCTTCACAACATCTTATTATGAATTGTGCTATGTGAGGCATTTCCTTGTTGCTTCTTCAAATCAACAAAATTCAGCTTCAAGCTTCATTGGATGTTCCATGTTTTAGTATGAATAAAAAAATGCAGTAGCTGACTCTAAACTCCAAATTTGGTTTCAACACAAAGCCTGTTCCAAAAATTTGTATCTGTTTTGTTCTACTTTGTTCTACCAACCCCACGTTTTATGTCACTCATGGCTAGAAGATACCAACATTTTAGATTGGAGTTTAGAAGAAAACTTTACCAGAGCAGTGTTGCTTCATTTATTCAAAATCTATGTTAAAGTTTGTACCAGTATTGTATTATTTTTCCCTCTGAAATATAGTTTGCCTATTACTACACAATGTGGCTCACTGACTTCTCTTCAAGCTATAGAGCAACCTATTAATAATGTAATGACATTGACCACAATTATGGCCAACATTTTGTATCAGTTTTAGACCATTTTGTTCTACCAAAGCAAGTTTGTGTATCTCTATAGTTAAAGGGATTCAAATTGAGTAAATACCAAAAAAATGTGGCATTTACTCATATTTCTATCAGTTTTGTACTTGTTTTCTCCCATTTTGTCACATCAAGCCTAAATCTTGTATCATCTCACAACGTGGGAAACTGATATGTCCCCTAAAGGGAGTTACAGAGCATCCCTCTGTATTGGATTTTTTTCTACTAGATCTTCGTTTCCCCATTTCCCCCTCCCAGTTGCTAAGAAGTTGCTAATGAACATAAGTGTGCTATTTACAATATTAATGAAGTTTCCACACTCTATGGAAGGAAGTTGTTTAATATTGTGGTTAATGTTAAATTTTCCAGATTGTGATAAAATCTATTTGCTTACAAAAATATTGGATCAAACTTGCATCAGACAGTCTGAAAATCAAATAAGAGTTTGGTTATCATCCTAGTTCTTATCAGAAGAAAGTCAGATGAAAGCAGTTAATACAAAAGATTGAGAAGATTGAGATTATACAGCTTTGTTCAGAAGCATTTACTACAATTACTTTGTCTTTCAGTATTACACCTCCTTCAGTGCTGATAATTTCACTATACAGAATTCTGGAACTAATAGTCTGATCAATCAATATTGTCATGCTGAGGCATGTATTTGAACTCAATTTTTTACAGTGGTTCATCTTTTTCACCATGTTTGGTACAGTGAGATCTCCATAGTTCAGATCAGCTAAGGCTTGGAAGCTGTATTATCTGGTGCTTCTTCAGAATTGCAATAAGGACATAAATCTCATCATATGAATGCCTGAACGATTTTAGTGGAATATGATTCAAATGATTTAAATTACTAAAAAGTAAATATTTTAAGACTGTTGATGTTAATGTACAATATAGAATTTTCAGTTATCTGTGATGTAGTAACCTGAAAACCTGGACACATGAACGCTGATAGCAGTGCATATCTATATTGTCTTCATGTTTATGTACAAAAATAGATTTCCCACAAGAGGACAATATTAAAAAAACATGAGGTGACATTCTAGAGAGCATTGAAAAATCGAGATGGTAGTTATAGCTGCATGAATAAAGCTCTACTATGCTGTTGTATATATACTCTCAACTGAGGATGCTACTGGCTTGAGTCAGTTACTGGTTTATAGAAATATTTACTTCTAAGGAATAGTCTGTGTCTCTTTAAGACTATCCTTATTTTAACTTTTGCTTTTGAAAAATATAATTGGAATTAAGCGGTTTTAAGACAATAAATTGTTCATGTGCATGTGGATTAAGGTAACTGCAGAAAATGTTTTAATGTATAAAAAAATCTAATGTCTAAGATAATATTTACTGTGTTATGTATGTTGAAAATATTGCCCTGTACTTTAGGAATGTATTTAAGAGAATCAGAATTTTTTGTAACTTTTAATTTAATAAAAAATAAATCACATTGGATTTTAATATACCACAGAAATACAGGTTCTTTGAGGCATACATAACCTTATTTCATACTATTGAGCATTCTGAAATGTCTTTCCAACTTATTTTATTGCTGCAAAAGAGAGTACATCTCCATCTATGTCTGAAGAAGAAGTCCCACCTGTTAGGGAGGGTAAGTAAATTCCCATTACCAATCTCTTTCATTAATCACATTTGGTTTTGTTTTACATAGTACTGTTGTTTCATGCAGAGTCTTAGAACATAGGGTTGAAAGGGATCTTGGTAATCATCTAGTTCAACCCTGTGCTCAGAAGCCATTGCTGCAACATATCCAAGAGATGGCCATACATCGTTTAAATATTTCCATTGAAGTAGAGTTCCCCACCTCGCAAAGTAATCATATCCATTGACTCTTATCTTTCCTGTTGTCCAATTAAAATCTTTAGTAATTTAAACACATTGGTTCTTAGCCTGTGTACAACACAAAAATAACAATAAGAGCAATAAAAGAAAGAAAAGAATGATGTACATCCATAAGATAAATTATTCAGACTAGCATATACAATCCTATAAGAGACTTGCCACCTAGCCCAACTCAAGGCCTGGGGAAAGATCCAGGTTTTCAGAGACATAACTATCACATCTTCCTGCATTTATCTTTTCTCTAAATAGAATTTATCCAGTGCTTCATAAACATTTTCTTCCAGAATATATTAACCATGTGATTTTTCTGGACACTGTCAAGTTTATTATTGTCCTTCCTAAAATACTTGCTTGACAGTTTCTAGCTATATGATCAATTCTGATTAGACAGGAGCAAGGATTTTCTTGTCATACTGTATTTCTGTTAATGAGATCTAGATTGCATTTGGAATTTTTTTGTAGTTGCATCATATGTTTGCCATGTGATCCATCAAGACACCCTAATTATTTTTGCATATAGGCTGCCCAGGATTGTAGTCTCCATCATATACAAATGGCTTGCATACCTCTTGCTAGGTAATGTATTCTTTTTAAATACTCACCGAGTGCTTAATCAAGAGTTCCAGAGTTTTGCTGACTGATCAGTAATTATCCATCTCTTACTATCTTTTTTTGAAGATAAGAGAATTTGTCCGTCTCTGGTCCTGTATTATGTCAATGATTTCTCGAAGATCAGAGATGACATCTGTTAGCTTCTTTGAAACTCATATGTAGCCTTTCTTTATTTTTACAGATATTTTTTATTTCCTCCATAGTGATTATACCTATTTTCCATTTCCTATACATATATTTTTAATCCAGAAGCTCCCTGTGTATCTACAACTGTTACCTAAGCTACCCATCCTTTTTTTCCCTCTAATTGGAATGGTATGAAATTCCAGTATATTATTTCTAAAACGATCCCATCCTTTGATTCCTTTATAAACTGTGCATTTAAACTGAATACATAGGATGTTTGCGCTAATACTCTAGTACTGCTTATTATTACTGTTGGTTTCAAAGCTATGTCAGATTTTGATATTCCGTATTCCAAATAAGTGAAATGTTTACTAATGCTTCATAGTGTATGTTGTAAGCTGACATGAAAATTATAAACGTAAGTAGAGCACATTTATAGATGCAGTAAAGTCTGTAGATTGTATCAAAGGGATGGTGAAGATTTAGCCTGTATTTTCCAAAATTAGCCAGCTGTTCATATTATCCTGCCCATGCTACATGTTTTAGCAGCAGTCATAAAGAAGTTAATTCTGTCAGCATGTCATGCTGACTGCTTTGTCTGTACACATATCTGCATTGTGCCTTTTTTAATTGTGTTTCTTTCCTAGCTTTTCTTCCCTAGCCTTATTGCTCTCCAATAAAACAGCAGCTATGAAAAAAAGACTTGTTTTGTATTGAGGGCTCTCCTAGAATTTTGAAATATGTTTGATAATTTTTTGTTTTCCATTTATCTTTTTCTTCATGGACTTCTAAGAGAGGAAGTGTTTATGATTAAGGGGTGATCTTAAATTTCCAGGCGACAATTAAGACTATATGGGGGTATAAATGCAATGTATGTATGTATGTATGTTTGGGTAAGAGAAAGTTGAACGGGGGTGGTGAGTATTATATGGAAAGAAATTCTGTTGACGACAGATTGGCCAGGTAAAGAGACAGCTGAAGATTAACCCACCAGCAGGACTTGGACAATTATATCAACCTGTCTTCCACGGTTGTGAGATCAAATCAGCTCATAAAGAAATGACAGCCTGTGCCTGTTATAGTGACCACCAGGAGGCACTTTGACTGCTTATCATAGATGGAGGTTATTGAAACTTGGATGAGTTTATAACTCAGCTGTATAATCTACAGTGGGAATGAGAGGAAGGCAGGATTTATTTTTCTCAATGTGCACTAGGTTTTCTAATTTGGTGCATATGTGCATAGAAATATAATTAAATAACTATTATAATCTGCTTTAAAAATGCTAATCGTCTATCTGTTCTTTCTGGCAGTGCGACAACGTAAAGCCAGCATTAAAACAAAAGTGACTCTTCAATCTGTAAAATCAAAGGACACTAAAGCAAAGAAACAGACAGCAGCCAAGCATAAAAAGGAAGATATAGAAAAGTGGAAATACGATAGAAGACGACGAACCCCTGTGCAGGCTAGCAGTCGAGCAGATCTCCCTTACACTGGGAACTATAGTTTCATTTAAATGTTATTTTTCATGATGTAGTTCTGGTAAATTTGATGTTCAAAATGCTGCATAAGGAAGGATAAAAAAAGACACTTGTTTTTAAGACAAAATAAGAAATAGTCCATTTTTATGTTATTTGGGGGAACCAGTTTAAATAAATGCCTGGTATTTTCATTTATGGATGTAGTAGTGAAGTGCCCATATTCTTCCAAAGTCTGTTCTTTTCAATAAATATGGCATTATTATTTTTTAAAGAATCTAGTAATGTTTACTGCACTTTAACAACTTGGGAAGATAGAATGACTCTTCTGGTGATACACAGACATTTCTGTCATTATCGGGTCTTTCAAATTCCTCACCTGATGGGTAATATTAACCCTCATAATTGTTTAACTTGATGTGCTGCTTAGTTTCCACAACAATGTAATTTTTGCCAAGCAGTTGATGGTTCCAGCACAAACATAAATGTATGTATCTTTCTGTCATTGTTGTTCCAGGAATTTCAAAAAGTAGGGAGAATCAGTTTTTATTTTAAAAATGTATGAGTAGAGAACCAAAGCAATTGTTTCATCTGTTCAGTTGACAGAAACAAAGCTGGTCGCAAGCTCTGAGACACACCCAGCTCTCAGTCATCTGTGAGTGGTGATTTTAACACCCTATTCTTGAAATCTTATTTGCAGCATTAAATTAGTAGAATTCATGATTAAAAGCTTCTTTTCAGAGTAATAAAATAGCACAATCTTATTTTAACTGGAGCTTAGTTGAAAACTTACAGTATTATTGAATGAAAACTATTGTTTTTATATGTGATCCCCGTAGGCTTGGTAGTGAAACATTTATTAGTGATCTTTTCAATTATAGATCCTATTGTAGTCAGTGAAAATTGGGATAGAATTTAGTGGTCTCTGTACTTGTAATTAAGGGTGAAAAAAATGCTAGCAGTTGTCTCGCTTAAGGCTACTGATGGTGTTAACAATATTGAAGTATCCTATTGCTGTGCCTCTGCTGTAATATATTTCAAATATTAAACAATTGAATTATTTCTAAAACATGTTTTCTTATTTTAGTTGTGAATATAAATAAAATATTTTATGTTTGTATAACATGGCACTTATATGTATAATTACTTAGAAGTGAGTTTCTTGAATGATATCTATTCCTTATAAGGGAGGGGGGGCTAAGAATACATCCAGACAGAGCGGTCAAATGTCTGTAAACCTACTTAGGTTGTATTCCCAGGCAAACAGTCCTTCCCAAAGAATGGTGATTTTCATTTCCAGAGATTGGTTCAACAACGGCTACTTTTTAGTTATTTATACACAATGAGTGTTCCACGACTTAGACTTTTCTGGCAGGTGCATTATTTAGTAATGCTTGGTATCTGTTGAAAGTAAAACCACAGTTCTATCATAGGTAGCTGGCAAAGTATGTAATTCATTGCAATAAAAGATTGTTTTCCACAGAACAAACCATACCATTTGCAGAAACTGGGGGCATTACATACAGTAGACCCATAGAACAAGTGACTCATTCTTACCTCCAAGTATTTACATTGTCCCTGCAATTCTAAATTTTACTTGGCCTTATTTCTGAATAAACTTCATGCCATTTCTTTCAGATACGATAGACATCTATGGAATAGTTACGTTGATTGGCTGGGGATGGAATTTCACCACACTGGGCAAAACACTTTTCTATGCTATTATTATGAGTGATCTAACACATACTCTGGTTTTCATGAAGCCAGTTGGTGACCTGCAGTATTACTGTTGAAATTCTATAAAGCAAAAGAATACAGCATCCTGTTCCAAATGGTATTCATACTTATTTAAGTCTCCAGCCTTTTTTATTTATACAAGAATTCAAAGAACATAATTCAACAGTGCAAGGTAGTTACAAGTAACTTGGTAACCAAAAGAAATATATATATAAATGATCAAGTTTGTTGATAATGTGAAATAAGTCTTACATTTTGCAGATGGAACTGCACTTGTTTTGCTTTTTTAAAAGCCAAGATGTAGTCTGGATTTATTTGTATCTTAACTCCTTAACAAGCCCACCAGAAAAAACAGGTTTTTGTCATTGAAAGGATAAATAGCAATGCTGTTAAACCTTCTGTTGACCTTTTTCTCCTTCTGAAACAGACATTATGGCACATGAAAAAAAATATGTTATACATTCATGACTCATTTCTATTTCAAGGGACTTGAAACAGATCACACCTTGTAGCATAATGCTTTTAATACCAAAATGTAGCACTGCCATAACAAAAATAAACCTTAAAAATACGATTCTATGACAGAAGACTGGGGCTCAAATGATGGGCAATGGTGGAAGACTCATTTAAATCAGGCTGTCCAATTTTATATCAAGCAGAAAATGATGCTAGATTGAAGAGCATAAAGGATATGCAAGGCAGGATACTCCTTTTTCTTGCTGTCCGTAATTTAATTTCATTTGGTCTTTCAGCTAGTGAAGAAGGATGTACATCCCCATCTCCACTCTGCTCTTTTCCAGGGTTGGGTGTGCTTCAATGATTTTAAAAAGGTGCTTCAGAATGTGTGGGAATATGTGCAGCACATCTTCAAAGTGGCAGTCTTTTTTTCATGCTTCTAGCTGTTTTAATGAATTATCCTGTTAAAGTAATGCTAATGTGCATCTCTAATGTAACTAATTAAAAGAGTTGTGCTTTATCAAGTTAATAGGAAAGCCTGAAAAATGATACAGCTATCTTAAAGAAGAGGTGTTGTGTTCATGTTCCCACATATCACAAAGACTTCTTCAAAATCATTTTTAAAGCACGAACAGTCCTTCAACTTTGCACCTCATTTTTTTTGTCATATTCCTTTTTTTTTAGATTCAGGGAGGCGTCAGGCTTCTAAAATACAATACATTGTCAACATCACACATCGTTTGAGTCTTAGAAAAGGTTCCAAACTGTTTTGAGTTTACAGCTCTCCAGCAAGTTGGCAGATTTTCATTCAGAGAAGGAAATGGCAAATATTTTTTCCCCTGCATGATGTATAGCAGTTTATTTCTTTGTGTATTTACAGACATACATTTACAACACTAATTCAATGTGGCACTTGCCACTTTCTCTTGCATTCAGGCGTGTTCAAAGAAGGCAGGATATTTGATTTCCACGCCTCATTTGTATTCTCTTTACGAATACATTCATTTTAAGAATGGTGTAACTGAAAATAAAAAACGTATTAAATAGACCAAATCAGTAATGAAAGTGGAAGAGAGTACTGTTTTACTCATAAGGATTTAAACAATGTATACCAAACTAGGTGTATTTTTCTACAAAGAGTTCCTTCTGGCATTGCTGTTTGTTAATTAAGTTTTCAAATCTCGGAGACCCTTCAATACTGAATGGGTTGATTAAAGAACTAATTCTTCCCAGTAATCAACAAAATAGAACCAGAATCCTTCAACTGAATTCATTTGCTTCTACTCTCTGTTTCATCCTATTGAATGCTAAGATGCTAGAAATGGTTTCCGTATTTGTAACCAGGAATGTTTCAGAATTGATAATAGTTTCTAGCTCTGACTGCTGTCCTAAGAAAAACAATTCATTTTTTTTGCTTTAAGACTAAGAATAGAAACATTTCAGCATATATGAAAAGCCCATGTATTTTAAATGAAAGTTATGCTTTCACATCACTTGCTTCTCAAAGAGAAACGATGATATGAAATAAAGTAAATTAACATCAAAGTTCATTTCAAGGTCTTCCTATTATTCAGTCAAAATGGTAGGGTTCGTTTGATATAATACACACCGACACATAGATACACATTGGTGTAAAACTATGATTGGACATCTCTCTCTGATAGGCATCGTTAATTAAGCCAATATATGGATAGTTTTGGTCTGCTTACTCTTTCCACCAACATAATTCTGAGAGGTTTTCTTGAAAATTTCAGGGAGTAGAGAGTTTGATAAACAAATTTCTAGATATATTTGACAGTATCTAACTTGGCCCTAAGTTCATCAATTCATGCAAACTCTAGTTTTGATTATAGGATAAGTAATAATACACACACATGAAAACACATTTTTGTATTATTCTTTTGGTAAATATTGATTCTTGTCATATTATTCATAATAGGAAGTTTTTCTTCCTCTAGCTCAAAGTAGGCTTTCTAGAATGACATCCTCCCATGTCTTTCTTTATACCACAATGTTGTGTATACTGTTCCATATTATTATTATTTGAAAGCTATTTTCAAAGGATCCTGCAATACACATATCTTTTACTGCTATTCCCATGGATGTGGGAATAATATAAGTGAGTACAATGATTACTTTTAGAAAAAAAAAACTTAAGGACCGTCATTCCAAACTCTGGGATAAAGAATTCCTTTGTTAACTGAGATCATACAAAATAATACTCTTACATCCAAGCAAAGGAAAGACTCTTTCCCCTTTGGTGAATAGAAAATTATGAGCTGAGCTGAAACCCTTTTAGAGCACTCTGAAAATGTATAAATTAAAGAGATGTATTGTTCTGAATCAAATATAATGCACTCTTGGCCACAGTTAAATAAAAATATGAGATATTGCATATTTTGTTCCAATCAATGAAAATGGTGTTGCCTTGGGGGGTTATTTCTTCTGTTCATTAAACCTACCTGTCATAGCCCCTAAGTATATCTCTTTTTGGCAAATTAAAGGTTTACATGGAGGACAGAAGGAAAGGCCCAATATTTGAAAGAAAAGAAGGAAGGAAGAAAAGGAAAAACAACCAACTCTAGCACTGCCAGATTATCACAAACCATAAAGAACTTTTGTCTCTCTCTCTCATTTTGCCAAGTTGAATCAAGTTGAATTAAATATGTCCACCATTTTGGCAAAGTTAAGACTTAGCCACTACAGTTTCTTTTGCAGCTGCTCAAACAAGTTACCGCCACAGGTACTGGGATGCTATAGCAGCCAAAGAAAGTAATAAAAGGAAGTATGAAGGCAAAAGTACATTGCTGTTATTTCCACCAACGCCTTGTCCTGACTGTTTAGGCATAGGATGTATTTCTGGTGGCCGGGTGCTAGAATTCTTGGGCATTCTTTTGCCACAGACTTCATCCAGGCAGGTATCACCACTTCCAGAACCACTGTTGTCATCACCTGGGCAAGACAAAAATCAAATTAGTATGGTACTTCTTCAAAAGGCTGAATTGTAGCCAATATGTTTTTGGTAGAAGTTAATCTGCAACTGCCTGTCATGCAGAATGGAGGAAAGCAGAATTAGATTAATCTCTAGTATATTATTTCCTTTTAAAAATGTTAGTGGGTCCTAGATTGACTCCCTGGCTAGTCCTAGAATTTAACAATCATGGGGGGCTATAATGGTAAATACTACATCCCAGTACATGTCCTTGGAAGTATGCTAATCTCCTCAGAACCAAATGGAAAACTGAAACATCATGGAGGACACAGGGAAGGGTGGGGAGCAACCTAATTATTCTGCCTAGGAAATGAGTATTTCATGACTGACCTATGCCTATCAAGACAATTGCTATACCCTGCAATGTAGCAATTTTGAAACACATCCTATGATATATTCTTCAAGCTTCAGATCTACCTACCAGTCCAAAATGCTTGGGAATCTTGAATTAGTAAAGAATTACGATTAGTCTTGCAATAGGAGTATTAATTTTAAGTATTATTCTTAAATCAGTTATAAGAATTAATGTAGAAGGAATGACAGAACCTCGGGATGAAATGCAAAGGGGGATCAGCCTAGAATCGTTACATAGCCTCAAACTAACTAAGTCTAACCTGCTGCCCCCTTGAGTGCCTCTGGCCCTTATCTAACTCTAACCAGGTGTTGACCATTAGTTCAGAAGATTCCTGTGCCTAGGTTTCAGCAATAAATCAATTTAATTGAACCTTCATGTGTGGACCTGATCTTTCAGGCCTGACAATTTTGGAGTACTTTATGTCTTTATGTTTCCAAGCTTGGTTGTTCGCTTGCAGATGTTTCATAACCTGACTGAAATGTCTGCTAACAAACAAACAAGCTCGAAGAACATTGAAAACTCTAAGTTCACCCTGAGCTATATATATTCTCTTCTACTGAAATTATAAGAATTCTTTGCTACAGGGCTCCATTTGAGGCAGCATTTATTTTACATATTAATCTGGATAATTCACTGGACTTTCATTATCCATTATATAATGGCCTGAACTGTCACTCACTCACTCACTCATTCACTCACTCACTCACTCACTCGACTTTGATTAGTGTATGAGAATTGTGGATACATGCATTTTTGGGGATATCTATAGTAAGTCAGCACCCCAGAGAAGAATAAAAGCATTCTGATTATCAGTAAACATTAATGCTTTTGACACTTGGGCAATGTCTTCATCCAGATTAAAAATCTAGCCATTGAAAATTAACAGAGGGATAATTTTCCACTGCTTTGAACACTGTATCACAACTGTATGAACCTGTCCTTTGCTTATTGAACATGAAATGTTATGAATAATCCCACTTTCTCAGCTTGTACCTACTTGTATCCTGGAAATCCACATCATTTCCATTGTATGCATTGCGCAATCGATTTGTCATAATCTTCAACTGCATGATTTGCTGGCGAATAGTCATGTCTGGTTTGGTGATGTCGACCTCAACCTCTGGGTTATTGATCTGATTAGCTAGACCATCTCCCATCACATCTGGAAGGTATCTGTAAAGAGAATGTATAGGTTCATGCTGAAAGCTAATTCTGGAGAACTAGACTTCATGGGGATCCAACTGAACCCACTGGGTGGGTGGGAGCCTAACCAACTCTTTTTTTTATTTTTTTATTTCCCATTTTCTTTTCTTATTGTTACCTACTAGCTAGTTACCAAGGAAAAATAGCAAAAGAAGAGAGACAATAGAGCAATAAGAACAGAAGAAAATGAAAAGTAATTGTTTTAGTCACTATCTCATCTTTGTATTTCATGAATCAAGTCAATGATCCTTTGGACATGAATTATGAACCTCTGCTTGATGCTTTTTTAGCTTTAGCCCAGTAATGTGGTGGAAATATTGGAGCCTGTGGAAAACTTGTCCCTGGAGGGCAGAGAGCTCAGTTCTAAAAGTGAATTAGCTTTTCAGGGGAGATACCAAATTTGAGAGAGGTCACAAATTCCTCCACTGTTCCGACAAGTTGATAGCTGTGGTACTGGGCTTCCTCTTCTCATAAATGCCAAATTTATTTTAGTGTTTAGACAGAAGACAGCAGCCTTCCTAGAAGACTCTCAAGGGCAGTTATAATGACCTAGGTCACTGGTTCTCAACCTGTGGTCCGCAGACCCATGGGAGGCTGTGATGTCATCACAGGGGGTCCACAAAGGCATGAGGACATGTTACAATTTAAATCTTGAATCTTAGTGGCATTTAAAGGGGTCCATAGTGAAGAAAAGGTTGAGAACCACTGACCTAGGGAAATGGAAGTATAATATCAGGTGAATGTTGTGGATAGCTGCCTAAGCCTTTTTACACCAGTCTTCTCTTTTGAGCTTCACCTGCTGAACCCTGCATGGATCTTGTGTAAATAAAGAAAAAGATGGGACCTCAATGAATTATAACATTCTCATCTCATCTGATTTCTTTCCTATCCACCTCTGTAATAGCATTTCACTTTTCCAAGCTCTAAAACTTCATAAAAATGGTAGATGATAGTATGAGTTTACCAATGTGGCTGGGCTTGGTACAATTGCTTCTGATAAGCCCTAAAACACTGAATAGTTTTTGAGATGGTTATTTGAGGAGTTCCTTCCCTATATCAACTTACCTGCATATGTAAGTCATTTCTGATGCCCCTCTTATACACCCCAACAATCTCTAAGGCCTGTTTAGTTGGAACTAAAGAAAAATCAATACTTTCTGGTGACTATGTCATACCCTATAACTTATGGGTCACCTTATGAAAAGGTGACCCATCTCAATTTTTTCATTAACAATTTTCCAAAAGTTGTCAAATATTTTCAGATATTCGAAATTTTATGCACTGTTTTAATGTGTTTTACATCTTTAAAAAGATGGAAAAAAATTATTGTTGTGTATCAATACATTTGAAACACAACAGTACAATACAAAAGGAAATTTCAAATATTTATTTGTTATGCATTGCCTAAACATTTTGAAGCACAGATGGGATAGTAAAACGATCTCATTATTGCACAGCTGATTAGCCTTACCTGCCTTTGGTCATTCCGTTCCAGCACCTATCCTCATTTACAGAACCAGATGATATTTTTTCATTGCAAAGTGTCGTTGGCAGAAGAGCCCAGAAGTCTCTTACTTCCCTCAGCTTCCCTTTGGCATCTGAAACCTGTCATTAGGAAGAGTAATTAAGGTTGGAGAAAACATTTTAACATCAACAGCTTTATATTCTAAGTGCATTATGCATTATGAGAATGCATTCCAAGAGCATTCAATTGTAATGTGACTAAAAACAAAATAAGACTGCGGTAACTACCCTGAAGTGTTATCTATTTTAGTATATAACAACAATTAAAGATAAAGGATATTTTATCATATCCTGAGTATCACTATATAATAAGTTGGCTTGTAATGAAATCGCTAGCTTAGAAATGCTAGCTTGCATAAAATGATATGGCTGTGCTTGAGATAAAATTAATTTTTGGTTATAGTTATCACATACTGTCCCAACTGATCAATATTACTCTTATCATTATCTAGGAATACTACACATGGCATGGAAACCACAAAGGCTAGTAAACCAGTCTACATCTCATCTATTTTATTAAAAAACGTTATGTGAAAGCCTTGATTGTCCAAAACCATAATGGGTGTCAGAGATCAATATCTGTGGTGAAATGAAAACAATAGCAAATAGATTGTGACATGGAGGAGGAATAAATGATAAAGAAACTACATTAAGAAATGAAATGAAAATAATAGCTACGTATTATAACTGTGAAACTAAGAAAGACAAAGGATGAAGGAGATGAGAGTAACAGAAGGACATGAAATGGCCATGAAAATGCAAGAAAGAAATCAAAGAAACAACTGTTGAAGTAGGATGACTGCAGGAAGAGAAACTATGAGTCCTACAGGAAAAAGTATTAGGAAACAGATGAAATGAATGCAATTAAAAATAAAAGTGATAAGATGTTTTAGAAGGAAATTGAACTGAAGGATCACTGGAGGCAGTATTTTTGAATTTTATATGGGAAAGATAGGGATGTTCTGAAGAATGGATGCTATATTTGTTTGTATGAAGAAAAAATGAATGAACAGAAGCTCGGAATGCTTCAAGAAATTTGGAAAATGATAAAGTTGTATGTATAAATGGTAAAAGCGGATGTAGTTTGCTTATGAATATGGTTGTGTGATTTTTTTTAAATGGGTGAAGATTGCACATCTGAGTCTTGAAAGAATGCCATTTTCTTCCTTTTTACAAAGGTAAGTCACGAGAAAAAAAGGCAAATGTTACGGGAATATTAGTTTATGTGTGGCTGGAAAGATATTTTGCAAGAATTGGGACAAAAAGGATACAAGAGATGACATGCAGCAAAATTTGGAAGACCATTATGGTTTTTTGCCAGGGTGGGCATGTATAGATCAGATTTTTGCTCTAACTGAGAAATGTAAGAATGGGAATAAGATAGCAAAAATTTTTATAGGTGACAAAACAAGAAAATATAGCGTTAGGAATATGTAAGTATTAAATACAGACCCAGAAACTTTTAATGGCACAAATTTTCGGGGACAATATTCTAAGATAACACTTTTTATATCTGATGAAGACTTCATATTTTATGATTTTATGTCTAGTTTGCACTTCTGCTTTGGATTCATACAATAATAATGAAAAGAGAATAACAAATCTGATAATTAAAGCAAATGAGAAAATATGTTTCATTGTTTCTTTTGAAGAATGTAGCTAATTATGAGAATTCTTTAGTCTAGTAAAAAGGCTAGCAAGGGAAATGGAACTTTGGATGCTATTGAAAGACATCCCAAAACAAAAGCAGGAGAAAGGCTATGTTTCAAGACGCTATTAAGGAAAATAAACTGGCTACTCCAAACTAAAATATTTACAGTTAAGACACTTTCCTTGCACATTGAGGCAATAATTTTCAGTTGAGAAAGTCTATTTATGTATCTTTCTTTCTGCAAAGTAGTGGCAGATCACATATACCTGATTTGAATCTTATGTTAATAATCAGGGGAATTTTGCTGCCAATGCTAGCAGTGTTTAGATCTTGGATAAGATCCGGGGAGACTCAATCCATCAGCTGTCTGCATTTTACAAACATATTATGTTCTTTCAGAGTGTTCCAGAATAGCTGTGGTTTAGCTGAACCGCAAAAGGACCCCAGGATGATTTTATACAGGGAGTACAGTAAGGCTGGTATCCCTTTCTCCTTTCCTTTAGAAACAAACATATGGTACTACTATTGCCTCCTTTACATGATGTGTAGGTCAGTTCTCAGTGATCTTCCCTCCTGTTTGCTGCTACCATATTCTAATACATCCTATCCCTTGCTCCTTCTGTCTCAAACTTTCAGCATCTTCCCTCCTTTTCCAGCCCTAGCTCAGCAGCTACCAGAATAAACAGGTACTAGCTCAGAAGCACATCAAGCAAATCATTCGTTATGGTCTCCTTGTAATTATTACAACCTATATTGCAAAATTTTAGAGATTTGTACATCTCTAAAATACATGATATAACAGTGCAATTTATTGTTATTGTAAAGTATGTCCTCTATATGTCTGAGGTGCCCATGATTACTAGATGAGATAGAAATATTTTTACTTGCTGAGAGTCTAAATATGTGAAAAATAAATCCTTATATTGGTAAGCAGGACAGTTAAGGATTTGGTATATTTAAAAAGTGTCTTTTGGTGATTGGCTAAAAGGGTGCTGACTTTCATTTTTACAGATCACTGATGTGTATTCTTCCAATGAAATAAAAGCTCCACACTGAAACTAAACTGTGCTTATATGTATTCCTTCACATAATGAACATATTTATGAGCATTTTGATTAACAGGTTATACAAGCAGTTCTAGTGCAGAATTAAATCAAACAAACCCTCTGTACTCACAAATTTCTCTGAACTAAGCCCAGAAGATTTATCTTCAATGACATATTTTCCACGTCTCTTCTTATCTTCAACATTGGCAGCTTTTGTACTGAGTTTGGGATTTCCACAACCTTGAAAAATCTGGGGAAATCAAAGAAAACCACATCTCAGAAAAAAGAAATTTCTATTAAATCTCTGCACATTTACTTCATCAATATTAAATTTACTTACATTTCATTTCAAATATGAGGACATTCCGATTTCTTATATATTTGATACTAGTATTTTTGTTTTGCTTGATTCAAAAGCCTGATTTAAAAATGTATAGCACAAGCTCTATTTTTCTAACTTACTTAAGCTCTCAGAAACTAGTATTGATATGTGATGTCATATAAGCATAATAATTAGTGAATTAAAATCCAGCCTAGTGTTTTCTTTTGTTGATTGGCTTAACAATCTAATGATTAATGGGTTTTGAAGCCATGTTCACTCTCTGAACTGATGGCTTTATATATTTTAGGCAGCAGTACTATGTCTTCTCTTTTTCTTTCTGCCAGTCTATTGATGACTTATTTACTTGCTAGTCAGTTCCTGATGCACTTTCTCTCAGCAGCTTTAATTACAGTTCTTCTGTTCCATAAGAATAATAGCTGGGCTCCAGGAACTCAAATTATGTTGTTCATATCAGGGTCAATTGGATGGGAAGCTGCCATTTTTGGATTTGCGATGGAGCAAATTTCTTTTATGCTGGGCTAAAGAATCACACTTTGCTTAGGAACACAGATAGGACAAATGTTTGGAAATCAAAGGTGATGAGGAAGAGATAGACAAATGTCTCAGGAGAAGTGAGCTCACTCTTATATTGGGAAGGAGACACATTCCAGCCAACACATACAAATTAAAGATGACAGGTCTGGGGTTTAATAATTCTTTTTTTAAAATATATTTTATTGATTTTTTTGGGAATAACAATCTTTAGTACTTGGTAAACAATGTGTTGTCTGGGTTCATATATTTAACAATAATCAATAATAATTAATTTTTATGATTTCATAATCAACATACTAACTAGGAATACATTTCCTTGATCTTCTCTTCTTCCAATAGTGTTCTCCTTTTACCAACCTTGAGCAAATATAGTTCTTAGTACTTTTAATACAAAATTGAATATAAACATTTTTCTAATATTTATGCGAATAACAATAACATCAGTATGTAGCGTCTTTTCTAATCAGCTTATATTACAGTTGCATTTGCAAAAAATCATCATGTAAATCACTATAGGTCCTGTTTTCAGAATTCTTATTTAAGCTTAATTTCCCCTCAGTATTCAAAACAATTCTTGTCAGTTATAATTTTCTCAAAATTGATTATGTTTAAATATCCAAAACATTTCATTCACTTAAATCAACCCAATATTTTTATATTTCCCATATCATAAAAAAATACTATACTACTTATAAATCCTATCTTTCTTACTATAGAACCCATTCATATCCAAAATTTAACTATTCTCTTAACCACATTCAAACAGGTGTTTAATCTTATGATACTCCATTTAGTACAGTGATGGCGAATCTTTTAGAGACCGAGTACCCAAACTGCAACCTAAAACCCACTTATTTATTGCCGGGTGCCGGGTGGGCGTGGCTACGGTGGCCACAGCAGATTGGGTGGACGTGGCCACCTTGAGGTTGCTCGTGGGAAGGAATGCCTGTGGGGGCCGAGCAGGGATGGGGGAGATCCAGAGGGTCTCTGGTGGGTGGGGCGATGGGCAAGAGGCTTGTCCTGTGGGGTGAGGTGAGGCGAGGCGAGGCAGGGCGGAGGTGCCATTGCCTAAACTTTCCCACCTCCCGCGTGGGCAATGCCTCTCCTGAGATGAGCCCGTGTGAGCCTTCACACATGGTCTGGCAACGTGAAAGTATGAGCGTTCGGAGAAAAACTCTTCAAGAAGAAGAGTGCGCACCTACTCCCCCATCCGGCCGGGGCTTTTCCAGCCCCACCCTCTGCTCTCAAGGTGCCAAACACCCTGCTTCTATTGAGACTGTGGCAGGGGGGCATGACCTATGGCCTAGCAACGGAGACATGGAAGCAGTAGGTAGCCGCGCGCAGTGAAAGGGGCACATGCAGTTTGGGAGATGTCAATGGGGGTGGGGGAGCAGCTGCTTCCTGGAAGATGGGGACCAGTGTCAGCTGCAGCAGGCAGGGGATAATAAAAGCTTAAAATAAAAATAAAAGTCTAAAAAGGAACAACACTTTCTGACTGAGGGGGCACAGAAAAGATGGCATTTGTGGAAGGGGGGCTACGCAGCAACACCCACTGACAATGGTGGAGGAGATGAGGTTTAGGCCATGCACTTAAAGGAGAGCGATCCCCACCATGCGTTCTCATGGCCTGCAGTGGTTTGTTGCCAATGCTGTGTTGGTGGAGCCAGCGCCCCCTGAATGGAGAAAGCCGGTGCCCCCCTGCCAGACCTGACGCCCCTGCTAGCAGTGGAAGCCTCGTGGTTCCTCTGTTCACTGTGATGGGGAAACAGTCCTGGAAATATCGCCAGATGGCCCAGACGGAGCGGTGCCCCCCACGAGACGGCATCTCCCAGTCCAGGTAGAGCCAGTCCGGGTAGCCAAGCACCAGCAGCCAGCCGTCCCTGAGCAGCAGCACCAGGTAAAGCCCCAGGCAGCACCTGGCTACGAGAGAGGCAGCAGGTGACCCTCTCCTCTGCCTTGCCAGACCCCAAGCAGCAGCAGCTGTGGCATTGTGAATATGCTTAGGAGCCTGCCGCTCCGGCTGCTCCCACCTGCAGACAGCCCCAGCTGAGAGGGCTGGAGAAGTCGGGGTTTGGGAAGGCAGCCCCACATGAAGCAAAGCAAGCCACCACCCACAAGAGCCAAGCCGGGCACCGTAACTGCCTTCCCGCCCCCACCTCGGACTCCCTTCGCAGCCATCAGCCCACTGCCCCACACTGGCCATGATCACTGGCCAGCGCTTCCTCTCCTGAAGCTGGGACACAGCCAAGTTTGCTGCCGCCGGCATGTCCCGTCCTCACCCAGCACCAGGAAGGAGAAGACCCACTGGAGGATGGCAAGAGCAGCAGATGCAGCAGGGTGAACAGCAACCACATGGCCAGCCAATGGGGTTTCTCCTACAGGTTGCCTGCCAAGCGCAGCTGCAGCTTATCACGGAGGGACGAGCTCCTCCTCCTCCGCAAGGCCCCACCCTGTCTGCCCGTAAGCAAGGCGCGGCTGCACTGCTGTGGGGGGGCGTCTCCCCGATGACGGCTTCGAGCTGGCAGGCCAGTGATGGTGAACTTTTAGAGACCACGTGTGCTGTGGTGATGGCGCATGCCCACAGAGAGGTCTCCGCGTGCTGCCTCTGGCATGCGTGCCATAGGTTCGCAACCACTGATCTAGTAGGTCAAATCATCTCTCTTAAATCTGGCTCTTGACCATTCTTATTTAATCTTAATTTCCCCTCAGTAGTCAGTATATTTCTTGTCAGTTATAATTTTTGCAAAATTGATTAATTTAAGTATCCAAAACATTTCGTTCATTTAAATCATCCCAATATTTTTATATTTCCCATATCACAAGAAAATACTATATTACTTATAAGTCACATCTCTCTTACTATAGAACCCATTCATATCCAAAATTTAACTATTCTTTTAACCATATTCAAACAGATGTTTAGTCATGTAGTACTCCTTCTGGTAGGTCAAATCATCTCTCTTGGGTCTGGCTCTCGCATTCTTCTTTTGCCAAGCAGCTTTCCGAATCAACGTGTTCAGCTTGCCAGGGGATTCTTCCTATATTTTTATGAGTGTTGTTAAGAATGGGAAGGACAAATTGAGTGAAGCACTTTTGAGGGGGAGTTTCGCCCATTTATATTCGTTAGGAAGCTTCCATTTTACTTCTCCCTCAATTTCTCTTTTCATTTTTTGTCTCCCAAACTCTAGGTTCTCTGACAGCTCTATAATCCATTTCATCGGAACTTCTTTCTTATCTCAGATTTGTTTTGAAGTCTTGAAAAATAGAATGTCTTTTTCATTTCCAATATTATAGCAGAGTTTTGCAGGTTTTTCTTTGCCTGTATTAAGCTGTGATTTTCTTCGTTTATAGCCTCTATCTTTGGATCACTTTCCTCTGGTTTTTCTTCCATTGTTTGATTTACTTGTTTATTCTTTCTCATCATTTTCTGAGAGTTTTTTTAATTGTGAGTTTAGGTCAAGGATGCGCTCATTTATATCATTATTTTTAATCTCATCATGATTTCAAACAATTGTCATTTGAATTAATTGCAACATAACGTGCATTTCCTCTTGGAAGGTATTTGTCTTGTCTTGAAGTATTACTCCTGCAGATCTCTGATATACCAGACTGGGGATTTTAGAAAAACATATTGAGTGTGGTTTCCTGCCACTTTTGGTTGGGTATGCAACCTCAAACCAATCACTCTTAAGTTCCAAACACCAAAGTCTTACATAATTCTTATCTTTATGTATAGTCTTTATAGTCCAATGCGTTTCCAGTTGTCAATCCATTACTAACACCTATATTTTATAATGGTTCTTCTGCTCAGGGATCCTACAATTATCAACCAGCCAAGGTTGCAGTCCAAAATATTCAACCACTTAAAAACAATCCAGTAATTTCCCCCCTAGAAGAATAACCCAAAAGTCAAGGTTTTTCTTTCTCTGCAAATGATTTTCGACCTTAAATATCACAACTCATTAAGTGTTTATAATCCAAAAAGGTCAGCAGTTTTTATAACAACTGTATTTCTCATTCTGCAATAGATAGCCTAGTGTATTTTTTCCCCTCTATTCCCAGCTGTTTTCTATTTATCTAAGAGTCACTGAGGATCAAAGGAACAAGTTGTTGTCTGTTTCTGGGCGTCTTGCCAATTTCTGAGCCAAGGCAGCTGTAGTTCTATACTCTGATCTACCACTAGATGTTAGTAACTATTTATTTTCCAACTTTTAAAATGAAAATATTATTTTCTTGTATTTTCATCAATGTTCTTTCAAATGGAAAATCTTAATTTCCATAATTTTCAGTTTTATCCATATTATAGTTTTACATTAATCCATCTCAATGTATTTCTGTCCCCCATGAAAATTTAATTGCTGCTTTCATCTATGGAAGCGAGCGGTTATAATCCCCTTCCTTCTCACTTTTGGAAGATTTTTTGCTTCTTGGAGATCTTTTCCAGGAAATCAGTTTCAAAATAGAGACGAGAAGATCAATATTCTCACCCAGTTCCAAACACACTGTTCACAGTTGTTCTTAGTTGGTGCTTTTGGACTTCGGATGCCAGTAGCTTGGGCTAGTCACCGGAGTGCAGCTAGCCTTTCTCCTGTTGGTTTGAAGGGCTTCCCCCTGATCAAACGGATCGACCGCCATCTTTCTGTGATTAACGGGGGGCCTCTCCTTTTTCATTGCCTCTCCGGGGTGACTTTAGACCCATTTAGGATCCCCTACCAGGATAAAACCAGCCGTGGGGTCTGGAGCCTCTTAATCCATTAGCTGCGCAGCTACAACGTAAAAGTGGAAGTCTTGGGTTTAATAATTCTTGTATGACAGTAAAAGTGGCATTCCACCTATTGAGCACTGAAGAATGGCGAGCATAACAAGTCTATTTTTTATTAGTAGAAACAATGGGATCCTTTCCTGGTAACTTGTCATTGAATGTCACTGGCTAAAAATCCCTGGGATATGACCCAAAGTCACTTGGCATGCTTAGGTGATGGTTTACAGGAAATACCATGAAAGTGGGTGTGGGGGGGTGAGGAATAAGAAAAATACAGGCAATTAAATATATAAGAGGTAAAGTTATATTCTGAACTTCACAATTTAGTTCTTACCTTGGCTGTTATAGATTCTTTGTTTTCTTGCATGTTTGAAATGGCTTCAGCAATCCTAGCATGAATTGTACCTATTACAATGTCTACATTAGATGGTCCATCAAAACGATCAGCCACCAACAGTAATGAATCTATTGGGGAAAAGAATAAAAAGATACTGATTAAGAAGTATATCAAACAAACATTTGAGATGGCCTTTTTGTAATTGCTATAACCAATATTGAAAATGCAATATATATCAATGGAATATTTTATATATTTACTTATATCCTAGATATTCAGATACCATGATTTACCTATACCTACGAAGATCAGAATAGTGCAAACAGTGGCATTTGCTGTGATACTTTATGTAAGCAAATGTTGGATTTTAAAGAGGCAGGATTGGAAATGTACTGACACTTTTGAACTTTGGTGCTGGAGAAAACTCTCAAGAATACTATGGACAATGAGCCAACTAAACAAATGGATCAATGCAGCATTCTCACTCAAGGCACACATGACTAGGCTCAACCTCTCCTATTTTGGACACATTATGGAAAACTGTAGGTCTCTTGAGAAGTCTGTAACGGTGGATGACTTCAATTAAAATGGCAATGGATGTACTGTTGGAAAACCTGAAGGACTCGAGACACAGATCATCATGAAATAAATCTATCTATGTGGGTGTCATTAAGAGTCAATGCTGGCTCGAAAGCATTCAATCAATTGATCAGTTTAGGTCCTGAGAGTCAGAAAAAGAAGTCATAAGGATAAAGTGATGTAATACATCCAAGAATACAAAACAAAATTTTATAATTAAGCCTGAGAACCGTTGTTCAATTTTAAAACTTTTTCTATCTGAAAGGGTCCATGTAGTTTACTAGAAATAGAATTCAATTTGAAGGTGACTGAACTTTTTACTCATTAGTAAAAAAACCATCTTTTCTGAGGCCATTATTAATTTTTTAACTGCTTAAAATCATCCAGTCTGTGATACTGATGTATACTTGGAACTTCTATATCCTGGTGTCTTCTACAGTAGATATGCTAAAACTTGAAAAACTCATAATCTGTTATGGGAACTATGGAATTCCAAAACATATGGAGAATAATATTGGATAAGGCTCATCTAAAGGAAGGAGTGATGCTTCAGAGATATTGAAAATATTCCTCTAATGCATGTTTCAATTGATCTCCAAATTTGCATCAGTTAACTAAAAGGAAAAACAAGAACTCTGTAAAAAATGTCAGTGAAAGCATTTTTTTCAGGCAAACATCTATAGATCTTACCAATCATATTCTTCCATTCAGTGTCCAGGTCAGCATGATTGCCCAGGCAGCCCTTCAAGACATTACGGCAATAGCTATTACATGGCTTAATGTTTGACATGCCCCGGCAGTGTGCACAATACATCAACTTCATAATAGCGCGATTGCAATACTGGCTCAGAGGGACCTTAAAAACAAACAAACAATTATTTCTTAAGGGCATATACATAACAATTATAAAACACAACATGTAACCTAAAACACAACATAGGATTCAAAAGAGAAAAAGTATTTTTGTGCATGTGTAGAGAAAACCTATATAAATTTTAAAACTAAATCCATTAAGTAGAAACCTAGTTTGTTTCTTATATGAAATCCTTGGGCATAGCCCACTTAATTTCAGAGTAGGACTACTTTTCAAAATGAAATATTTCAAAATCCCTAAAAACCTTGCATTCTGAAATATTCGGGTCTGAATGCATAGAACTTGTAAGTTACTCCACAATTGTTTCTTTGATGTTTTGCCAATTTAAAAAAGGCCAGAACAATAAAGAAACAAGCACATAAATGTTATAGATGCCAGCAATGGTTCTAAAATCCTTTTTTTTCTTCTGTTCAATCATGTGCAATTCTTGGAGACTGCCTGGACAAATCCTTGCAGTTTTCTTGGCAAAGTTTTTCAGAAGTGGTTTGCCATTGCCTCCTTCCTAGGGCTGAAAGAAAGTGACTGGCCCATGACCACCCAGCGGGCTTTGTGCCTAAGGCAGGACTAGAACTCACTGTCTCCTGCTTTTAGCCTGATGCTGTAATTGCTACACTAATAAGGTACCTATAAAGCAGGGGTTCCCAACTGGGGTGCTCGCACCCCTGGGGGTGCAAAACACTATTCCAGGGAGTGCAAAAACTTGGGTTTTCAAAATTATAGTGTATATGCGTAATTCATTGCCGTTATTTTGAACTTTTGTAAGAGGTTTTTGAAACGGTCTCCAAAAGGAAATGTTACTAAAACACTCTATCATGGGTCATCACATGTTGGTATCAAAGATCACAAAAGACCAGGAGACATATCATTAGCATAACAATGACACTGGATCAGGTTATCCGAAGTACTGTATAAAGGATAAACAAAATGGACTGTACTTGGATACTTTCATTTTGATTGGTTTGGTACGAGGAATTGGAAATGTTCAGTTATAATAACAAAATCATACCTAAGAACTGGCTGTGGAGTAGATCATGTGCAAGTTCCAAGTCAAACTAAAGCAGAAGAACAAAGCTATCCAATTTCTACAATATGATCTTGAACATATGCTGGCTATTTTCAAGATCACCAGAAATTGCTTTGAAGTCCTGAACTTCACTAGTAAGGAACCAGAGGAACTATGGAATGAAATCAAAGAAGTTAAGAATGAATGGAAAAGAGACTGCCAAAGATCAATAGACAGAAGAAAGTAAGCTGGAAATCAGAACAGATGGTGGAAATTGTCAAGAAAAGAAGCCAAAGCCAAGAAAGACAATGATCTCAGAAAAAACTTACAGAATTTAAGAGAGTCATTAGAAGATACAAGAAACAATATTAGAATGTAAAGACACCAAAGATGGAAACGGACATGGATAAACAAGAAAAGCCTTCCAAAAGAATTGTAACCATCAAAGGAGGTTCCAACAACAAATCTGCATACTAAAGGACGGACAGACATGAACTGATTCAAATAGGATCAATAATGTAAGGAATCTATTAAATTCTTTACAAAAGTGATGACAATTTACGATAGAATTAGATAATGAAATTTATAGTAAATTATTGTACTAGAAGATAAAGTTAGATTAGCACTCCAATCATTACCAAGTTGGAAAGCAACAGGAACTCACTGAATAGTTTCAGAATGTGTAAAGATTCTAACTAAGTGACACCAGCAAATCTGTATAATGGTACAACAACCAACAGATTGGACGAGGACAGTTTAGATATCAATACCAAAGTCAGGAGACTTAACATAATGTGCAAACTATCACTCATTATCCTTAATTTCACGTGCTAGTAAAATAATACTTAGGATTACTCAATATAAGTTAGAAATTACATGGAAAAGCAGACGCCAGATGTTCAAACTGGTTTTAGAAAAGGCAGAAAAATAAGAGACAGATAACTGAGAAAGCCACAGAATACCAAAAGAAACAAATATGTAGCTCATTGATTATAAAAAGATCATGACTGTGTTAACTATGTGGAATCTGCTCAGAAAAGTAGATATCCAAGAACATTTCATTATCATCATGAAAAACCTAAAAAAGCCCTGTTCTAGATGGAATATGGCAAACAGTCTGACTCCAAATTGTCTCATTTGAGATAAGGTTGTATACTATCTCCTTATTTATTTAATCTATATGCTGAACATATCATGAGGGAGGATGGACCTGTCATTACTAAGCTGATGACACATTGTTGTACCTTGCTACTTTGGATCAGGCTGGAGATGCCATGGAAATTTTGAACCAGTGTCCAGAGATTGAATGGGGCAAAATTAACTCAAATTAAGTGCCTCTAAGACTGAATTGTCCATCAATAATGTCCAGGAATGTTGGTCTTGGTAGTTACTTTGGATGGGGAAGTATTCCACTCAAAAGAGTTGATGTGTAATTTGGGGCTCCTTCTGGAGGCTGTAGATAAATAAAGTTCTGCCTGATGTTACACTTTACATGGGACTGGGACAGACAGGTATTGGAATTCATTATTTAAGTATTTGTTTATTTATTAAATTCTATTGGCTCCCCAAATCCGGTAGACTCAGATGCTACCTGCTGGATACCAAGCTGCTGGATTACTATAATGCATTCTGGAGTAGCCTTTAGAGGTAATGCAAAAATTACAGCTGATCCTGAATATGTATAGTGAGATTACTGGTAAATCAATCCAGCCAAAGCATGGTAACAACTCTCCTGACATTGTTATCTTGGTTATCTTGGTTATCTGCTATAAGTTACTAATAAAATTTGATGCTAACACAGCATTGAACTATTTATTTAGATTTTTGTATCTTGTCTATCGAGTGCTTCACTATTTTATAAATAAGGTGGCAAAACATACCTAATATTCCTTCCTTCTCCTATTTTCCCCAAAACAACAGCCTGTTAGGTGAGATGGGCTGAGTGAGAATGACTAGCTCAGTGGTGGTGAACCTGTGACAATGACACCTCCGCCCTGCCTTGTCTCCCCTCACCCCGCAGGACAAGCCTCCTGCCCACTGTCCCACCCACCAGAGACCCCTTGGATCTCCCCCAACCCTGTCCAGCCCCCACAGGAATCCCTGCCCACAAGCAACATCGAGGTGACCATGTCCACCTTAGCCACACCCACCCATTCTGCCATGACCACCACAGCCACGCCCACCCAGTGGGCCACGCCCACCTAGCACCCGGCGATAAATAAGTGGTTTTTGGGTTGCAGTTTGGGCACTTGGTCTCTAAAAGGTTTGCCATCACTGGACTAGCCCAAAGTCACTCAGCTAGCTTTCATTATATCAAGCACCATCCTGCCAGGGTTGAATCTATCCATCTATTGAGAATATTTCTCTGGTAAGCTTACTAAGAGACCAAAAGTAGAGGATGACCTTAACTCAGAGAGGGCAGATCCATTATTAAGGCAACAAGTAGATAAACATGTCTTGATTAGGTCTACCTTGTATCTAAACTGCCATGAGCAAGACAACAAGGCTTCTGTGTGGCAGCTCCCATACTGTGGAATTCTTTACCCCTAACATCTATACATCCTCATTCCTTTCAAATATTCAAAGATAATTTAATTTCACTGGGCCTTCAACCACTTTTTGGTTTATAAATTTCCCAACATGGGGCAGAATTGAATTATTGGTACAAATGCATTACTAAAATAGCACTGCTTTTTTATAATTTGATTTATTACTATTCTTTCTGATCCCATTCAGCAGGAATTTTAGAGAGCTAAATTTTGGTTGGTGGAGTATCTCATTCATTCAGTTGTGTTCCAACAAGCTTTTATCAAAGAGATGAATGAGGAGTGTTCTGCTTGACACTTTTAAGATCTCCCTTTACCTTTAATTGAGGAATATTAAAGATGTATTTTCCAAGGGCCATATTACAAAGTGGTTATGGTTAAGGACTTGTTTAGGTTTGTGTGAGTATCATGATAAATAATCTCTTTGCTTGTAAGAAATATGCACATTATACTCTAGAATAAATGAATAAATAATACAGATAAGTGGGATATCAAGGCTAATATAATGTGATGTATTTTTTAAAAATATCCATTTTATTATTTCTATGTCAAAGTATTCTGGCTGAGAATTCAACTAGAGGTTACTTACATCAACTAGACAATCCTTTGAATTATTTCTCTTTTTAAATAATTATCTCATAGGAAATCAGAGTAGTATGTCATCTAGATTTGATATAATTTATGTTGAAAAACATTTTTTACATTTTACAATATGCCAGGAAGCTCTGCAGTTTGCAGATTTAATAACTGATATGAAAATAGAATTTACTAGTTTCTCAGATAAATATATAAGCAGAAAGTATAACACCAGCTCTCATATTAAGAGCTAACTATAATTATTCAGACTTAGTTATTCATAGGTATGCTCTTTTAAATTAATGTGACTACAATTGTTTATACTTTAAATATGCTAAGTTATAATCAACTCATTCAAATGAAATTCATTAACAACTTATTTTTATCCATCAAGGACACACAAAGGTCAGAATCTTTAATGATGAATACAATTTCCACTGAATTAGGGATTAGTTTAGACTTTTTATCTATTATAGAGCGATTTGTCTTGATTTTAAAAGCTTCATATTTTGATAAATTCTATAAAACTTGGAAGATAGGGAATTAGACATATACCCAGAAGTATACAAAACAAAATGAAAATAGAAAGTAATTTTAATACAAGGATATATTGGATTTTAGTGTCTAATGGAAAGCAACAAACACACCTATAGTGCTATCTTTTACATTTTATGAAAGCTGTCACCGGCCAATATTGTGTAATTATGGTCTAAGTTGAGATATGCACTAACATGCCTTTGTGAGTTGTGTGTGGGGAGAAGAGAGAGAATTAAATTAATGTGGTAATCAATAATCCTTAATAAAACTGGATTCATGTATTTACTCTACCTAAATGATGGTAGCAAAAACAAGACTAA